CAAAACAGAAATAAAAATAAAATACTCAATAAGTTAAACAAAGAATTCACAAAGAACACCGTTCCTCGGCAACGGCGCTAGAAATACTTGTTGAAATATTGGCAAGCGTACCAAAATTATCAATCGCACTATAGTATTTCGATTAAATAAAATTCGATCCCACGAGGAACGGTTTCAATGGAAATTCTCAATTATATGTTTACTAAGTAGATTAAAACAGAATGGGTTTTGCATAAAGAGTTGAATTAAAATTAAATGACAAAGAACTGTAAATTGTTGAAATTAAAGGCACTTAGGATTGATTTCCTTCCTTATCCCTCTTTTGTAATGATTATGTCAATTAAGAACGTCAATTAACCTAACAATGTTGATGTCACCTACTCAAATCATCCATGTTGATTCCTCACACATGAAATTCATAAGAAAACCTAATAAATGTTGATTCCTCACACAATTAAGAGATTTCCCAGCACTAGGTTTAGGGTGTTAAGCAATTGATACATTCATTCTATTCCTGACAATTAACGTAACAAATATTCTTACCGTGATCTAGGGTTCAAGATATATTTTCCAATCATACCCCAAACATCAAGAATAAATCATTCCAAAGAACAAATGATAAGAATAACAACATCAAAACATAGATTAATATCTCAAAATATCACCATGATACAAAAGAGTTCAAAGGAAGTGCACCCAATCCCAAGAGAATGAAGTTAGCCACTCATGTTGGCCATTACAATGCTCCAAATGTGGAAGAAGTGAAGAATTGATGAAGATTGGACGAAACTCTAGCAGTAGTCGCGCCTCTTCTCCCCAAAGCCCTTTTCTTTTCTCAAAACACATCTTCTCTTTTTATAGGAAAAATTGGACTTTTGGGTTTCGCGTCTTTCGCTCAAGCGACAACTTTTGCTCAAGCGAAAGTTGTCTATTTTCGCTCAAGCGACAAAACGTTCGCTTGAGCGAGTAAACTCCAGAGAAGAATAACTAACATTCGCTCAAGCGAATTTTCTTGCACTTGAGCGACTGACTTCTAGAGAAGAATAACTGATATTCGCTCAAGCGAGAGTCCATCCTGCTCGAGCGACTTCCATGCTGAAAATCTTCTTTCTTCTTCCAGTTTTACTCCAATTATTCTCCTTACTTTTGTATCAAGGTATTTTCGAATTCATCCTATATTGGGAGAAAAATAGATTAGAATTAACATAAGTTAAGTGGTTTCATAACAATTCAGGACATAATTATATCAACTTTTTACCACTTAACAATTCTCTAGATTGAAAAGAGCAAAATGGGAAAGTGATAGAAGAGATGGAAAATATGTGCTTATGGAAGATGTGTGAAGGGGAAAACTGAGGAAAGTTATCTTCTCTGCACCATTTATATAGACATTGTCTTCCTCTTAACATTCAATTCACTCTCAATGTTAAACTGTACACGTGTAAATAAGACTTTTTATGACTGTTATTTTTAGATTTTTTATGCCGGTTCTACAATTGACATAGATCCAAATGACATAAAAAGTATAATTTTTTATGTTGGTTGTTAAATAACCAACATAGTAAATATTTACTATGTCAGTTTTTAATATAACCATCATAGAAAGTCTCGTGTTAATCTTTTTATATATAGTCATATTTCTTATAAACATTTTATTAAACAATTTTAATGCAACAACAAATTGCGAAAATTAAACACAAATATTATCTACATACGAAAAACAATCAAACATAAAATGTAGATAATTTCACTTAAGTTGGATAAAAATCATTCACAAAATAAAAAATTCATAATAGCAATTGCAATCTAACATATATTAGAATACTCCATTAGACAAAATCATGAAATACAAACTAATATAGAAAAATGAGACAATATTTTCATATATTACCTTTATTGTAGATGAGGAAGAAGTAAGATTGTGGGAAGTACTGGTGCAAGCATAAGGAAGACAAAAGTAGATGAATGTAATGAGGAAACAATGAAACAAAAGAAAGATGTAAGTAAAATTCTCTTATGTAGAAGGAGAAAAAATAGAAAATGAGGAAGATGAAAATGATAAAAAAAATTTGAAAAATTTAAATTTGGACACTTTTAATGACGGTTTAATTTTTAACCGTCATAATAAGTATTTTTTATGTCGATTCAATTTTGAACCAACATAGTAAATACTTACCATGAAGGTTCAATTTTAAACAGACATAGAAAATACTTTTATGTCAGTTCAAAATTGAATAATCATAATAAGTCGTCATAAAATGTTATTTTTATATTAGTGGGTAACGAAAAAGTTGTGCTAACAAGTACAACTTTACCTGAAAGTTTGAGGTATACTACCATATTTCATGACTGGTGGTGTGATTGTGAAGAGTTTCAAGCTCTCTGATTTCCTTGCTCACATGTTATAACTATATGTTTCTCATATCAATTGCAGATTGGTACATATGTTAATCCAGTAAACAAGTTAGACAATATTTTCAAAGCTTATGAACATTAATTTCATTTGGTACAAAATGAAGATTATTGATTTCCTTATATTCGTCCAAATTTTATTTTGGACCAAACTATACGAAATGAACAATAAGGAAGGTTTACAACAACACGTATCCACAACGAAATAGATTGTTCAAATCCAAATAAGCTCAAAAAAAATGTTCATTTTATCATTTTAAAGGTCATAATCGTAGTAATTATCTGCATAGACAAGTGTAATATATTTAATTTCTTTTAACTATTGGTATAATTTAAAAAATTTTACTTATAAATTTTTAATCTTAAAAAATGGTAAATAGAAAAATATTATTACTAAAATATATAATATTATAAATATATAAAAAGGTAAAAATATATAATGTTATTTTATAATTAAAATAAACATATAAAAAGATAAAAAATAAAAATAATAATGACTTAAATTGAAAAAAAGGAAATCACACAATGTGCCTTTTAAAAAAATATTAAGAACTAAAATTATGCTAAAAAAACATAATTTTTTATTATAAATTCGTCTCACCAACCCATATTTGTAAAATTTTTTAACTTGATCCATTTTAGCAAATTTCAAGTAAAATTACACTAATGTAAAAAAAATCTCGTACAATCAACTCCAACAAACAAGACCTCTTGTGAATAATATGTTATGGATGCTACTGTGCCGGCCCACAGTTGAACTAAAATAAATTTTCATTAAACTGCCACCAATATAATTTTTAGCATATTTTATTATTTGTTGCAACTTTTTTTAATTCACAAAACTATTAGAGAGTATATTTGAAAAAGTGTATTAGTGATAAAGTGCAAAAAAGTAGTAATTTTTCATATAGAATGATGACACTTGTTGTTTTAACTTTTGTATATTTAGTATCAATTTCTCCTAATTTAAGAATGATAAAATATAATCATATGTTTTTGAGTTTTAATTAAAAAGAAAATCATTTTATCCTCATTTTGTATATGTTTCAGGTGAATTAAGAGAGAAGGAGAAAGGGACCTAAAAGAAAAAGAAGAAAGGAAGAAACAGAGAAAAAAAAAACATGAAATCCTACCACAACACGCTCAAGTTAAAATGGTATCGCCTAAAGGAGATTCGTCCAGAGAACAAATAATTTGAAAGTCATTCTTGCCCAAGCGGAAATTATCTCGCTTGAGCGAGATTCGTCCAAAGAGAAATTAATATGAAAGTCATTCTGGTTTAAGCGAGAATAATTTAGTTTAAGCGAGAACTCGCACAGTATATATAATTTGTGATTTAGACGAAAAAATAGGGCGTGTCGCTTTTGACAATATTAGGGAAAATTCTTCTCCAATTTTAGCTTTTGGGTTTTTCTTCTTCTCTTAGGATGTTAATGACTACCATAAGTGGCTAATATTTCCTTTTTGGGATTGAATGTAATCGATTCGAATTCGGATGAAATATGGTGATATCTATATATAATTTTTCTAGGTCTATTCAATATTGATATTTTTGTTTTGCTCTTAATGCTTGATTATATCTGATTAATAGATTCGTGAATGTGATTTTTAAACTTGACTAGAAAATATTTCTGAAAATCTGATTTAAACAAAAATACTTGATGTATTGTGATGCTAAGAATAAATTTCAGTATATCAATTGCTTTTAACACTTGAAAAGAATGCTGGACAAATTGTTGGATATGTGAGGAATCAATATCCAGGGAACTGGTCTTATGAATTTTATATATGAGGAATCAATATAAATGATTATTGTGTGTTATATCAATATTGGTAAATTTAGATGTTATATGTTTATATTCATCCAGATTACGAGAAAAGTGAGATAAATGAAATTAAATCACAACTTCTTTCTTTGAATCTTTTCTAATCAATTTATTGTCATTATATTATTTTTATGTAAATTAGTATAAATTATTATTATCAATCATAAATCAAATGAATATCCTTGTATATATACTTGTTTTGAGATAAACTATTTATTTTAAATTGAACCTATTCATTGTGGAATTGACACTTTCACTTAAAAATTATTATACTATTGGTACACTTGCCAAAATATCAATCATTAGTGGCACTCATACACTTTTAAAGAAATTACCCAGGGTAATTGATTTTTTCATTAATAACTCATGAATTTTCCCTTGATCTGTTTTCATATACACGTTTTACTGTTAATTTATAAATAATAAAAATTTATGACAAAAGCTGGAATAGCTCAGTTGGCTAGAGCGTGTAGCTGTTAACCACAAGGTCGGAGGTTCAAGCCCTCCTTCTAGCGTGAGTTTTTGTTTTTTTATATTTATAGATTTTTTTTGTTATTTTAAAAAATAGATATTTTTTCCTTAATTGGACTCTCAGGCCCATTCACGAAATGAACTCCGGTCTCTAATTCAATCGTTGTCGCCTAAAAAAAAAAACACGTTCCCACTGTTCCCCACAGCTTAACTAGAACCCTAATCCTAGCTGCGCTTGGCGGTTTCACTCGAAGTGTAACAAACCAACCTCGAACCTCTCTCTGCACTGCCATGGCGAAGAAGAAAGAGAAGAAGGTGAACGTCTCCGGCAAGCCGAAGCACTCTCTCGATGTTAACCGCAGCAATGACGCGAAGAAGGAGACGCGCTCCGCCGCCACCGTTCGCCGGCTCAAGATGTACAAGACTAGGCCCGTGCGCGACCGAAAAGGAAAAGTCCTCTCCAACGAGTTTCAGTCCAAGGAGCTTCCCAGCACACGAATCCAACCCGATCGCCGATGGTTCGGTAAATCCAATTTCGCGATAACAATCACTTAATTGCTTAATTAAAGGATAATAATAATCGCGTTTCATCAACTTAAAGTGTGGATTTCATGATCCGCAGGGAACACGCGTGTTGTGAATCAGAAGGAGCTCGAGTTTTTTCGAGAAGAGCTGCAGAGCCGCATGTCGAGTAATTACAATGTGATTCTTAAGGAGAAGAAACTTCCGCTGTCGCTGCTTAATGATCACCAGAAGGTTTGCTTGTAGGCTCTGTGTGATTGGTGAATGAGTTGTGTGCGTTTTTTAAAATAAAGATTAGGATGAATTTGATACTAGTTTATGGATTTTGAATGTAGCAAGCTAGGGTTCACCTGCTTGATAGAGAGCCTTTTGAAGATGCGTTTGGACCTAAGACAAAAAGGAAGCGCCCCAGTCTCTTGGCGGCTGACTACGAGTCCTTGCTGAAGAAAGCTGATGGTTCTCAAGGTAAAAAAATGGTTTCTCTGTCAATTTGTAGGTTGGATGCGCAACAACGGGGTTGTATTATTATCTTTACGAGTTTAGGGTCTGTTACTTGTGTGTTCCGTGGAAACGTTTTTAAGTGAAAAGTTTCTTGAACGTTACATAAGTTTCTCCGAATGAGGAAATCTCAGGAACAAAGAAGTTTATTTATTTATTATGCCCTGCTTAACTCTTTTTCTAAATTGTGTACTATTTTCTAAAAGTTGTCTGTCCTACGTTTTTTCTTTTAAAAGTTTGCTGCCTGAGCGCCTCAACAGATCACTTAAGAAAACAGGGAAATGGGAAATGTTTTTCTGAAAGTTAAAACTAGAAATTTGAGATTTAGTTTCTTATCTAAAGCACCCGGAGGTCTATTTAATATTACTTGTTTTATGATGGTGTACTTAATAAATTCACTTAATTGAAACTGAATAGTACTGTTTTATGTTTCTTTTGTGGGTATTCTTGTTTTATGTAATTGGTAGTTTCTTTCTACAAATTAATTATGTTTTACTTAGTCTGATTATTGTCATTACTTCTTTCCGATGTTACTTTGCAGATGCTTTTGAACAGAAGTATGGTTCTAGTGTATCTGGAGAAGCTGACGATGGAGATGGATTTAGAGATCTAGTGCGGCATACCATGTTTGAAAAGGGTCAAAGTAAACGCATATGGGGTGAACTTTACAAAGTGATAGATTCTTCAGATGTTGTTGTCCAGGTAGTATCATATTTTTATTTTTTCTATAGATTTTCTCATGCCTATGTTTTGGAAGTGGTGTGCATATGTGTGTTTCTATTAGATATGATTATGAATAACAAATACATGCTTTTTGATGGGCATTTCTGTTGTTATGTTGGTCAGTTAGTGTATGGTATCTTGTAGGCTTTATTTCAAATTTGATTTTTTTTTTGTCTTTGGTTAATTTGTTCCATTTTAAGCAACTTTTATGTTTCTTTTGTGCTTTGTTGAGCAAAAGAGTCTACGATGATCAGATTCCTTTTAACTCGACTCCTTGAAGTTGTCCCACAGATCTATCTTCTATTCATGAAAGTTTGAATATTTTATGTATGCAGGTTCTGGATGCAAGGGATCCACAAGGCACAAGATGTTACCATTTAGAGAAGCATTTGAAGGAAAATTGTAAGCACAAACACATGGTGCTTTTATTGAACAAGGTTTGTAACATCATTATTTGTTCTTAACATTGCTCTAAAATGTTGCTAAATGCTCTAAAACAATCTTAATTTTATTTCCTCCCTTTCAGTGTGATCTAGTTCCTGCTTGGGCAACTAAAGGATGGCTTAGAGTTTTGTCCAAAGAGTTTCCAACTCTTGCATTCCATGCAAACATTAACAAGTCCTTTGGAAAAGTATTTCTAATACAGTTATCTTCATTGAATTTGTTTGTCAAATTTGTTAATTTATGAAAGAAATATAACTGAAATATGATATAGCTTTGCTGCATCTCCTACCTTGTGCTATTTTCTTATTGGTCATTATTGTGCTTAGGGTTCTCTTCTATCTGTACTAAGACAATTTGCACGATTGAAACGGGATAAGCAAGCCATATCTGTTGGATTTGTTGGATATCCAAATGTTGGGAAGTCGTCTGTAATCAATACTTTGCGTACAAAGAATGTAATAGTTCTATCTCCTTTAATGTTTCTCAATTTTTGCTTAAGCTGTTGTTTATGCATTTGTGTAAGCACAGAATCATCAATCTTTTCTCAAATCCTCTCCGCGATGTAAGTATTATTGTGGAATAATCACTTTAACATATTGACTAACTTGTATCTAATTTTATGCAAAAGGTCTGCAAGGTTGCACCAATTCCAGGGGAAACGAAAGTCTGGCAGTATATAACTCTTACAAAGAGAATCTTTTTAATTGATTGTCCAGGTGTAGTCTACCACAATAATGATTCTGAAACAGATGTTGTGTTGAAGGGTGTGGTAGGTTACCTTCTGGGTTCTCTAATTGTGGTTGTCATTTGCTTTTATCAAGAATGTTTTGTTCAGATTTTTTTAATGTTAATTTTGTTAATAGAACACAATGTAGTCCTTTTATCCTTGTAGGCAATTTCACCCAGTTGGGATAAAATGTCATTGTTGTAATTTGTTAATAGGGTTAAGCAACTGTTTAGGTATATGGTGTAATTTAATCTAATCAACCTAGCTGTCTCCTGTGATATCATCTATTTTGTTGGGTTGTTTTATATTATTCGTAATGATTTGTTGGACTCTTGTCTAGAAAACTATTCTTTTATTTTGCAAGGCTGAATGACTAGTATATTACTTTAAGGGTGTTAATCCAGGCATAGACACCCAGGATATAATACTATTCAAAACTTTAATGCCATCAAAATGAGGGTGATCAATGTTGCTTCTCGCTTGTTGATTTATCAGAATGGTGACAATCCATTACTGATATATGATAGTACAATTGATTTAAATGAAGTTATTTTCAACGTGGCATCTCCTGAACCATCATTGTTTTTATTTGCCCACGTGATATCTTTATATTGTGATTGTCAGGAGATACTTGTTTTGCTTCTCCAGGGGATAATTTACTCCTTGCTTTGCTAGTAGAAGTCCATGTGAAATTAATTTTGCTTTAGTTGGTAATTATATTATTATTATTATTATTATTATTATTATTTAATAGTTATGCTGATGTTACTTTCAGGTGCGTGTAACTAATTTGAAAGATGCAGCAGACCATATAGGTGAGGTTTTGAAACGCGTGAAGAAAGCACATTTGGAGAGAGCATATAGAATAAAAGAGTGGTATAGTTCTGTCTCCTTAACTTAATGGTGTAGATGTGTGTTAACTGTAAAGTGTGTCCTCCTTTGTATTCTTGTGTTTGATGAAAATAACCTAAGTTTGCCAATCAAACTGTCAATCTTCATCTTTGATAAGGTGCTGTTGTTGATAGAGAACATTTTGTGCCATGGCATACAATCAACCCACATGCAAACTATAGACTAGAGAAAATATAGGCAAACAAAAACTGACTAATATGCAGCAACTTTTCACCCTGTTTCTCTGTTTTCATCTCTTAAAATTTTTTTGTTTTCACCAGGGATGATGAAAATGACTTCTTACTGCAGCTTTGCAGAGCCAGTGGCAAGCTTCTGAAGGTATTCTTTTTAAGTTGATCTGAATCCTTGTTTAATATCTGATAGTTATTTCTTCATAGTATTGTTATCGAGGCAAATGAACAGCTATACTAATATATTTTGGCTCGGGTCAAGTTAGCTAAGACTATATATGTTTTCTCTAAGCATACTCTTCCAGCTATATGATGACTATTGAGAGTCAAAACCAATAATGAACTGATGTAACGCTTGTGTCATTTCTTAAAACTCTGCTTCTATTCTATAAACGGAGTGAGATGCGATTCAGTGATTCCTCCCCTCCCTCCAAAGACAGCAATTTGCAAGTTTTAAGGGGAAATTTACAGGGAGGCTGTAAGATCTGCAATTTTGTCTGGGTGGGTGGTAAATCAGATTAAGTGTAGTTCAATAGGTAGAGTGTGACGAATAAAAAGTACAGGACAAATCATCAAGAAGGATTTAGATTAATAGTTTGTTTATTGTCAATAGATTATAATTATGACACGGGATATTATGGAATTGTTTGTTCTTTGCTCTGTTACTGAACTGAATGGATTTTTGTGACCCATTAAACTGACCCATCTAATGGAATGAGACTTCTGTCGTTGAAGCTGTACGCTCTTCTGGTTGGACAGGATAAAGTGCTTTTGTGTGACTGATCTTATATTGTCTGTTTCAGGGTGGTGAGCCTGACCTGATGACTGGAGCAAAGATGGTACTTCATGACTGGCAGAGGGGTAGAATTCCATTTTTTGTTCCTCCTCCTAGGCAGGATGAAGCGTCTGAGGAACCTAATGTTAATGGTGTTGACATAGATGATGCTGTTGATAGCAATGAGGCATCTGCTGCTATCAAGGCTATCGCAGATGTTCTTTCGTCACAGCAGCAAATAAGTGTTCCTGTGCAAAAGGATTTATATAGTGAGAATGAGTTGAAGGGGGAAGGGACTGACCAACTTCCTAACCCCAACGAAGACGAAGGTATTCGGACTCCCAATAATAACACATCTGAACAGGATTCAGCTACTAAGATTCCTTCTGAGTCATAAATTTTGGTTGCAGTTATAGCTGTTGGGTAATTGTGTGTAAATTATTAGTTGGTTTTATTTCCATCCATTAAAAAAAAGCTTGGAAGAGAACAAACTCCTTTTCCTATCACATCATTTCTGTATGAGGCTTCACGTTTTGCGTTCGGGAATGTTATTTTGGTCCTCTAAATCGATCTTTAGGATTCATGAGATGGAGGAAGAAACTGCTAAGGAGATCATGAGCAATTAGTTTCATTTTTTCTTATTGAGCAATTAGTTTTAGCAGCGATATAGCTTGTGTACCATTGTGGAAATTTTGTTTTATTTGCTAATATGCCATTATATGATTCTTAGTTGTAAACGTGGATACATGCGACATTATCTAATTAATGCCAAGCCAATATTCTGCCGATCATGTCGATGGGAGTTTTTTTGAAGAAGCAAGCGTGTATTGATTGCTTTCTTCACCAAGCGAATAATTAGTTTAGTTTAAAATTAAAATTATATCTAACTTCACAACATGCAACGATAGAAGATGTAGAAGAGGAGATAAATTTGATATTTCAAGGTAGCAACCTCCGGATAAGACAATATTAGGAATAATTTTGAATTTTTTTTTCTTTCCCATGTTTGTTACCATAGTAGATATATACAAACTTACCCTATAATAGAATTTTACTAAATGTAGAAACAAACACAAATTCCAACAGAAGTTATTTTTATTTTGCATAATGTATAATTATAAAAAAAATAATTTCTTAGTGAATAAACTTATTTTGATGTTTGTTTAGAGTTTCTTCTTATGATTAAATCTTGTCTTCAAGGTTAAAAGTTTGTTTGATATATGTCCATGACTAGCCCCTCTATTGTACTAAAATTTGTATCTTGATGGGTCAACTACCCATTTTGATGAGTTTCTGTGGGAAGGATGCTAACCTTTGTTGGTGGATTCCAACATGGGGTTTCAGAACAGAACAATAAAAAATAGGATGTATGTAAGGATGTTATTGGTAAAGTCAACTCATATGTCAGTGCTCCAATGGGTGAATAATTTGAAAAGGACCAAAGTAGCATTTGACTAGCTTGTGAGGAGTGTGACCAGCCATAAAAGTTTGACGATATGGACGAAGTTTGACATACACCCAAGTCCCTATGTCATATCAAGTTAATGGTTATCCGCAAACTTTTTCATGCGCTCTTGAGACTTGTGTAAATTCTTGCATAACTTGGCTAACAAAGCATCATAAGAACTCAACATTTCTTCTACTGTCTCCACTAGAGATTGTCCTAATAAGTATCCTAGTAGTGAAGGGGGAACCCAACCATACACAATCTCAAAAGGTGTGAAGCTGGTAGCTAAATGGACATAAATGTTGTAACACCATTCTGCCCATGGAATGTAGTGACTCCATTGAGTAGTTTGGTGAGTATTGCTCAAGTGTACGATTGAACACTTCTAATTGTCCATCCATTTCTGGGTAATAAGCAGACAACATACATAATTGGGTACCACAAGCCTTGAATAGTGTCTGTCAAAATTTGCTAAAAAATAAGGGATCATGATCTGAAATAATATTCTTAGAAATTCCATGGAGTTTAGCCACCAAATTGATGAATAAAAGAGCTACTTGGTAAGCAGAATATTGAGTAGGTGGAGGACTGAGATGGGCAACTTTAGAAAAACGATCTACAACAACCAAAACAATTGTATATCCGCAGAAAGGAGGGAGGTAGGTGATGTTGCAGGTAGCATCAATTGTCCTGTGGTGGAAGCCGGGTGGGCCGAGTCATAATCGAATCGTGGCGCTTGAGCTGTTACTCTTAAGTAAAAAGAATTGCGCTCTGACTAATAGCTATAGCTTTTAGTCTAGTGGTAAGCGCTCGATCCTAACAATTGGTATCAGAGCCAAGGTCACGAGTTCGATTCCTGGTGGGCAATTGTTAAGGGGGAGATTGTTGCGGGTTGCACAATTGTCCCGTATCGATGGCACAGGCTAGATGGGCCAAGTCACAATCCAAGTGGGATTCCTCGTAGGACAATTGCTGAGGGGGAGATTGTTGCAGGTAGCATCAATTGTCCTGTGGTGGAAGCCGGGTGGGCCGAGTCAGAAGAGTGTCACTGTCTTTTGAGGGTTATACTTAATCTGTTGACAGATCACACATCTTCGAATAAAATTCTTGACATCCTTCGACATCACTGGCAAATTTTTTTTTCCTGTAATCGGTTAAGGGTCTTAACCAATCCAAAGTGACCACCCAAAGGGGTTGAATGAAATTCTACCATTAGCACTTCACAGAAAGGAAAAGAGGAGGACAACCAAATTTTTTTCTTGAAGAAGATCAGGTTATCCTGGAGTTTGTAGTCAGTTGCCGTTTCAGCACCTTGTTCAATATCTTGTTTCATGGAATGAAATTATTGGTTGAAATGGAGAGTTGTGCGTAATTTCTCTAAGAATTGGAAATGAGGAACTGTAATGATGTAGAGTTGAGAGGTACTTTGTTTGCCAAAAATCTGTGATAATGCATTTGTTGCAGCATTTGTGCGACCAAGACGATATTGGATCGTGTAATTGTACCCTAGGAGCTTACTCATGTAATATTGTTGTTTTAGAATCTGAATAGTTTGAGTTAAGAGATCCTTTAAGGGCTTGCGATCTGTTTTTTATGAAGAAGTAATTGCCTAAGAGATATTGTCGCCACTTTTTTATAGTTGATGTAATGGCATGGAGCTCACGCAAATATGTAGAATCTTGCATCATACAAGGACAAAACTTCTTACTAAAAAACGTCATTGGTTTTTGGTCCTGTGATAGAATTGCTCCCATGGCGGTACCCGAAGCATCAAATTGAACCACAAATGTTTTTGTAAAATCCGGTAGCGCCAACATTGAAGCAATAGACATGACTTCTTTAAGTTTATAAAATGCATCTTGAGCCTGTGGAGACCATTGAAAAACATCCCTGCGCAACAAATCTGTGAAGGGTGATGCCAAGGAAGCATAACCGCGGATGAATTTGCGGTAAAATCCTGTGAGACCCAAAAATCCTTTCAAGTCCTTGACAGAGCTAGGGGTTGGCCAAGAAATCATAGCTTTAATTTTGGAACTGTTAGGCCCTATTGATCTTGCACTGACTATGTGTCCTAAATATTCAATCTGTTGTAAGGCCAAACAACATTTGGACACTTTCAAATAGAATTGGTTAGTCAGAAGCAATTGAAAAGTGGTTTCCAAATGAAGTAAATAATCAGACCAATAGGTGTTAGGATCGAGCGCTTACCACTAGGCCAAAAGCTATAGCCATTAGTCAGAGCGCAACTCTTTTTACTTTAACAGCCCAAGCGCCACGATTCAATTGTGACTCGGCCCACCTGACCTTCGTCACAGGACAATTGATGCTACCTGCAACAATCTCCCCCTCAGCAATTGTCCTACAAGGTATCCCACTCTTGGATTGTGACTTGGCCCACTGGCCTCGCCACGGGACAATTGTGCAACTGCAACAATCTCCCCCTCAACAATTGCCCACCGGAATCGAACTCGTGACCTTGGCTCGATACCAATTGTTAGGATCGAGCGCTTACCACTAGGCCAAAGCTATAGCCATTAGTCGAGCGCAACTCTTTTTACTTTAACAGCCAAGCGCCACGATTCAATTGTGACTCGGCCACGACCTTCGTCACAGGACAATTGATGCTACCTGCAACAATATAAAGGAGGGAGGTAGGTGATGTTGCGGGTAGCATCAATTGTCCTGTGACGAAGGTCGGTGGGCCGAGTCACAATTGAATCGTGGCGCTTGGGTCGTTAAAGTAAAAAGAGTTGCGCCTCGACTAATGGCTATAGCTTTTGGCCTAGTGGTAAGCGCTCGATCCTAACAATTGGTATCGAGCCAAGGTCACGAGTTCGATTCCTGGTGGGCAATTGTTGAGGGGAGATTGTTGCGAGTTGCACAATTGTCCCGTGGCGGAGGCCGGTGGGCCAAGTCACAATCCAAGAGTGGGATACCTTGTAGGACAATTGCTGAGGGGGAGATTGTTGCAGGTAGCATCAATTGTCCTGTGACGAAGGTCAGGTGGGCTGAGTCACAATTGAATCGTGGCGCTTGGGCTGTTAAAGTAAAAAGAGTTGCGCTCTGACTAATGGGTATAGCTTTTGGCCTAGTGGTAAGCGCTCGATCCTAACAATAGGTACTATAGATTAGAATATTGTCAAAAAGGACGATAATAAACTTTCATAAATGAGATCGGAAGAGTTCGTTCATGGTGGCATGAAATGTTGCTAGTGCATTGGACAATCCGAAAGGTAGCACGCGAAACTCATAGTGTCCATCGTGCGTGCGAAAAGCTGTCTTGTGTATATCATTCGGGCTCATACGAATTTGATGATAACCTTGTAGAAGTTCCAATTTTGAGAACCAAACTGCAACACCCAATTCGTCGAGTAGTTCGTTAATTGTTGGAATCAGAAAGTTATTCGGAACAGTGATCACATTAAGTGCGCGATAATTAATGCAAAAACGCCGTGTGTGGTCCTTTTTCTTCACCAAGAGAACTGGGGAAGAAAAGTTGTTGGTGCTCTGACGAATTTCACCTGTGCCCAACATATGATTTACTTGAGTATCAATCTCCTATTTCTAAGAATAGGGGTAACGGTAGGGACGAACCTTCATTGGAGTTGAGTTGGGGGCAAGCAATATAGTGTGGTTTGTGGGATGTTTTGGTGGAAGTGAAGTGGTGGCAGAATTGAGGTGTATAGAGGCTTGGAAGGGATTGCGGTAGAACCAAATTTATCTTCTTGCAATTTGGCCAACTCTGCTGCTTCGAAAAATGTAACGGGTTAAAAAGAGAGAACTTTGCGTTGAATGTCAGGTTGCAATCTAGAGATGAAACACTCGAGCATGAACGATAGAGGCACATCGGTGATACAATTAGCAAGACTCTCAAATTCTGTGAGGTATTGCAGAACAAAACTAGTTTGGGATAATTTGCACAAACGGATTTTTATGTTGTGAAAACGAGA